ACTTTCATGAGTAGGCGTCATCACGACTCCTGAGGGTGGAAAATCCGGGTCATGACAATAACATTCAAAATTTGATTTGTATTCTTGCAGCAATCATTTTGATCCATAATTCTTCAAATGCTTTTATTCTTATTGATATCTCAGACTGTAAGTGTCGGAAGCGGTCCTTCCATAAAGCAAGTAAAACAACTGTTTTAGGCCTCATATTTGTGGGGGGCTATTTTTTAATACCTAATAGGCTATATATATAAGTTTTTTAAAAAACGTTGTGTGAAGTGAAAATGTTTGATTTCTTTCTTTAACAAATATAGAGACGAATGATTTGCAACTGCTATGATTTCTGCCAAAGAAATTGCATTTGGAATGAATATCGAACCTGAATTTCGTAAGAAATGTGTGATATATAGGAAGAAATAATTTGAGGAAAATGTTGATAATGAAATATCAAAATCTCTCAAATAGTCCTTTAGAGTTAATTACTTTTTATATATACTCTCTCTATAAGTACCTTTTGACATTTGTCATACCCCTTAAGAAAATAATGACTCTTAGAGCAAAAAATATATTTTAATTAAATCGTCTTTATTTAAAATTTATATGTTGTTAACTTGACACATTGAGATATATAAATAAGGCAAATTTTGGAAAAATAAAGTTATGTCACAACCCGGATTTCTCACCCTCGGGAGTCGTGATAGCGCCTACTCGTGAAGCTAGGCAAGCCGACAATTACAGTTTTTACCACCATTTTTATTAATCAAATAGAATCAGATATTAGCTAAGCAATATAATTAAGAAATGTGGAAGTAATATAACAGTGCCACAACTCAAGCACATAACCACCCCATAGAATCTGGTGTCACAATCCACGAACGACTAAGATTTACTACAAATATTAGTCTGATAGAAGTACAATCGTTCTCATGAAAGGAGATAGTATATCTAAAGCATAAGGAAGGGGACTCCGGAGTCTGCGAATGTCGGTAGATCTACCTCGAGTCTCCTATGGACTGAAGGTAAAAACCCACGATCTACTCACGAGGTCTGGCACAGAAATCTGTACAGAAAGTGCAGAATGCAGTATCAGTACAACCGACCCCATGTACTGGTAAGTGTCGAGTCTAACCTCGGTGAAGTAGTGACGAGGCTAGGACAAGACAATCATATAAACATATGCAGTCAAATTATATACGAACAGAACAATAATAACAGGAAATAACAGATAAGGATGGAAAGGGGAACATGCTGCGGGGAACATCAAAGTCAATAGTTATTCAATAGAGAAGCATAATGAACACTATATTTGTATCAATAGAAATAATGAAACAGTAACACGTGCACGGCATCACCCTTTGTGCTTTTACTCTCATTCTCACCATAAGAAACAATAGAAACGGCACGGCATCACCCTTCGTGCATTACTCTCATAATCATGGCACGGCATCACCCTTCGTGCATTAACTCTCACAATATCGGCATGGAATCACCCTTCGTGCATTAGCTTTCAAATCATGGCACGGCATCACCCTTCGTGCATTAACACTCACAATATCGGCACGGCATCACCCTTCATTCATTAACACTCACTCACAATATCATGCACGGCATCACCCTTCGTGGTTTATACTCTTCTTCACCCAAACAATAGAAACAATACATCCCGGCAAGGGAATCAACAATAGAAACAAATACATCTCGGCGAGGGATTCAGCTATAACCAATCTCGTTCCAACAGTTACTTCACAAAAATAAATCTCAACTTGAGCCAATACTCAACAATGGTCAATTACCAAGGAATTATCATAAGTCTTGTTCAACATTTATAATCATCAATTTAAGCATGGACGGTGCATAGTAAGAGTCACAACAATCATGGTATAAGACTCACGGGCATGCTCGAACCAACGTATAGATACTCGTTGTCACACTTTATTTTAAATTTTTTTGGGAGTAATTCTTTCATAGGGCAAAAATCACATGCTTACACTCGTCACCACACCTATATGTCGTACTCAACACTAACACGTAGCAAATAAGACCACAACACATATTCCCTCAAGCTAAGGTTAGACCAAACACTTACCTCAATTCCACGGATAAAATCAAACCTCAATTACTGCTTTACCTCTCGGTTCCACTTCTAATCCGCTTGTATCTAGTCATAATTTACTTAATAACATCAATAAATGATAAATAAACCAATTCTAATGCATGAATATAGATTTTCCAATATTTTCCCCAAAAAGTCAAAAATCGACCCCGGGCTCGCTTGGTCAAAACTTGAAGTTCGAACCAAACCCCGATTACCCATTCACCCACGAACTCAAATATGCAATTAATTTTAAAATCCGACCTCAAACTGAGGTCCAAATCCCCAAAATTCGAAAATCCTAATTTCTACCCAAGAATACCCAATTTCCCATGAAAAACCCTAAATTTTGAGATGAAATCATGTAAAAAGATGAAATAGATTAAAGAAAAAGAGTTAAGGATTTGGGAAAGAATTTGCTCAAGAAAAATCGCCCTTAGGAGTTTAGGTTTTGAAATTTTGAAGAATGAAGTGAAAATCCCGTCTAACTCTCATTTAACATGTTGCAGTTATCGAAATTGCGATTGGGGGTTTGCAATTGTGAACCCTTTGAATTTCTGATGCCTTCGCATTTGCGACCTCTGGGGCCTTCGCAATTCCGACCAAGGTTTCGCATTTGCAAGGTTGGCCTTCCCAGGCCTTCTTTGCATTTGCGACATTATTGTCGCGTTTTCCAGGCCAACAGATTTCGCATTTGCAAAGTCTGATCTCGCATTTACGAGATCAGAGGCTTGTGCAAAACACCATATGCATAGTTGAGTTTTTCCTAAGTTCTAATCACTGTGAGGCCTATCCAAAACTCACCCGAGCCCTCGGGGCTCCAAACCAAATATGCACGCAAGTCTTAAAGTATCATACAGACTTGCTCGTGTGATCGAATCACCAAAATAACATCTTAAACTACGAATTTAATACCAAAATTCATGAAATTCTTAAAAACATTGAAATTTCCATTTTCTCAACTAAGGCTCCGATTTATACCAAATCAACTCCGATTCTTACAAAATTTCACAGATTCGACTTAATTATTATTTTAATCCCGTACCGGACTCCGAAACCAAAATACGGGCCCGATACCATCAAGGTCACACACCATTTCATTTTCGAAAGTCCTTATATTTTCCAGCAAACAAATTTCTTTAAAAATTCTTTTTCTCGGGCTAACGACCTCGGAATTCGTTTCTGGGCATACACCCAAGTCCCGTATTTTACTACGGACCCTACGGGACCGTCAGATCACGGGTCCGGGTCCGTTTACGAAAAATGTTGACCGAAGTCAACTTTAATCAATTTTAAAGGTCAAATTCAATATTTTTTCTTAAATTTCACATAAAAGCTTTCCGGAAACGCGTCCGGACTGCGCATGCAAATTGAGGAGAAATAAAATAAGGTTTTCAAGGCCTAAGGAACCCGGATTCGGATTCTAAAATACAAGATGACCCTTTGGGTCATCACAAGTTAATTCCTTCTCGATTATATATAAGGATACTTATTTTGGACCAAAATAAAAGTAAAAAAAGTCACTTATTATGGACCGGAGAGATTAGTATACAAGGTTATTTTTTCACTTCAAAATAGATTTGAAAAATTAGAAGCATATTAATGTTTTTTTGGTTTCTATATAGTGGTAAAAAACTGAGATCATTACATGATGGAAATTTGAAAAAATATTTTTTTGATCTTGAATGTTCCTTAAAGCATAATAATCAACCCGATATTGATAGTTTAGATTTATTTTCTAAATTAAAAGTATTACAGAAAATAATACAATTAGAAGATAACTGTTTAATTGATATACTCAATCAATAAAAAGATTTGATTCTTTTTCTAATGCCTATATAACTTATAGAATAATGTTAATAACTCTTATTACCGTTGTTTCAACGGAAAAAAGTGCAAAATTAAAATTGATAAAACCTTACCTAAGATCAACAATGTCTCAAGCGAGATTAAATGAATTAGCTATATAGTCAATTGAGAAAGACTTATTATGAGAAATTGATTACAAAAAAATTATTAATAACATTGCATCTAAAAAAAGCTAGAAAAATAGATTTCAAATAAAAATAAAAATATTTTTTTAATAAAAAAGTTAAGGCCCCTCATAATGTTTGGCTTTAAACCACAAAATTTATCGAGCCGCCTCTGGTAAGTGCAAGTCAATTCTGTGTAGTTATTATTTAGTTCAATAATATCATTTTCCTAAATTATATATTAAGTTATTGTACCCGGTGCTTTGTTTAGATACTATTAAAGTATTGATATTATTTTACAATATTGTATTTTGCAAAATATGGCGTGCCGAGAAACTAGTATAAACAAAAAGTAGAGGCAAAACTAGGTGTTCTTCATGTATATTGTTAAAATTTCCTTTCACAAGATTCTGGTTTGCCGTAGGCTTTTCTAAATCCCAGTGGGCAAACCAAAGGATATTGAGTTGTGCAAGCATCAATAATTGACAGAATATACCAAAAAGCTCAAGGGTTACATGTAGTTAATAAGTCTCTATCAAACAACACAAAAAGATACAGTTCATTCAACGATTGCTTTTAGGTTCCAAATTTCATATGGGTGAGGAGCGTTATTGTTTGCAAGGTCTTGATCATTTAAATGCACCCACTTTTCATTCCTTTTGTAGGAATTTGACGATCTATAAACCGTCCCTAATGACCTATCGGCTCATGTTTGAGCATGATAAATCACTTTTCACCGACTTATTGCCAATCCACTTTCCAGTCCATTGAGCTGAGTTTATTACCACAGTTGTAGAGTCGAAGATCTTCAACATTGTCAAGCAACAATTCTCCCCATCTCCGGTCAGTAAAGTTGAAGATTAGCAGGACTTTTCTTTACTTTGAAGGACCAGTAATGATCATCTAGCTGCGTAAGAAAGATAAAAGTAGGTTCATTGTCATTGTAAGCAAGCTTATTCCATAGCATTTGAATCTGCCACAATCAGGAGTTGAGTTGTCCTGAGTTTTTTTCCTCTTTTTTGGTGGATAACGTAAGTCTTATTGATGTCAAGGGAGAAACTCGTATAAAAGCGATGTACAAATACACAATATGATTCCTTACTAAGTGTACCCTATCGTCTATTCTAATCAGGATTCTATTAACTGCTCCAACAATTTATAGAAAATATGAAAGATTCAAATATGTGCAAAGGAGTGAAAACTCCTTCAAAATCTCCTCCATTTATTTCTTCCCTTATTGTTCAGATGAGTGTCAAAACAACCACTTCCCATGGTCATCCTCTGCTCCTTTTCCTTCTGAATGCATAGAGCAAGTTTTCGCCAGTGTTCAGCATTGCCTATTTGGCTCCAAACAGGTTCTAGATTCCAAAACAAATGCACGACCTGAAATGAACTAGTAAGTGGTTCACATCTTCCCCGACCTCTTGCACATGAAGCACATATAAATATGAATTTTCTCCCTCTTTCCGGATAGCTTCCCAAACTGCTAACCACTCAGATAAGTTGATTTTCTGAGTTGGAAGAGAATCAACTTGGATCTGAGGATGTCGAGATTAACCATAATCTGTTGATGTCAGATATGAAAAGAAAAAGTGCTTACGACAATAGTAGTATTTGGTCAAAAAACAAGTTTGCTACCGCATGCAAATCGCAAGGCTTACACACCTAAACATCGTTTCGACCAGCAGTTAAAGAGTATATAAGCACAGAGGTGGGNTTAAAATTAAACAATTATGCTCAAATTAAAGACCAGGTCTCTGAATGAACACTAAGCATTATGGTACTCCTAAAACTCATTACCAATCACACACGGGTGTGTTGTCTTTCAAGTATTTCCTCATCAAGCAGCTAGCTCCGGCCATTGTAAATACCCTTACGCAGTAAGAAGTAAGAGCATGAATCATGAAGGCTGAGTTGCAGTAGCAACTACATCTGTAAAGTATTAAGTGGAAAATTAACTATAGAAAAAGCAATTGTTTTTTCCTGGAAACAGCCTCTCTACCCTTCGGGGTAGGGGTAAGGTCTGCGTATATATTACCCTCCCCAGACCCCACTTGTGGGATTATACTGGGTCGTTATTGTTGTTGTTGTTGTTTTCAATAATGTAAGAAAAGCAATTATTTTCAGGGGCAAATCCTTTTTGCTTAAACTTTTGGTCTTGTGTACACAATAGGGGTAACAGCCCCATTTGGGTGTTAGATCCATAAAGTTCATTTACCTGTCAAAAAGACCTTAGCATCAACCAAAGCAATGCTTGTTTATTAGCTTTTAACATCCTTCTAGCTGCAAGGATGTGATCCGATGGTCAATAAAATCAGTGCAGACCTTGAAGATCAGGTTTCAAATCCCAGCAAGGTGATTTCTTCTCATCTGTCTAAGCCTTGATGGGCAGACTTACACGTACCAATGCTGAAGATAGTTAGCAAGTACGCATTGGAATAGTCAAGGTGCGCATAAATAGGCCCATACATCATCGTCAAAAAAACAAAAAGAAAAAAGAACTTGTGGCTATACTTAGTAGAAGAGACAATATGTAAAATCTGGACAAACTCAATCAATTAATAAGTTTTGCTTGATGGCCTAGATTACACTCAAAAGAAAACTACCCCAAGAATGTTTCCTAAGATACATCCATTTACACGAGATAATTAATTATACTCGTGATCTCATCTGAGTTGTAGGATTCGCGGGGTTAAACCTTAAAGCTGCTGGAATAATTCACAACAACAACAAAAAAAAAAAAAAAAAAAAAAAAAAAAAAAAAAAAAAAAAAAAAAAAAAAAAAAAAAAAAAGCAGGTCGATACAGAGTTTAGAAAGGTTGATACATTATTTCAGGTCTCTTATTTTACTTATCCCCATCAAACACATGTCAGGTAATGTTTCCATAAATCTCCCAAGACCTGAAACAGAAATCTAGGAAGTGCATCAAAGCATCCGTAAAAAACAACTTAGGATCTTATGATGCCCCTACTCAGTTCCTCTGCTTCCGAGAATGCAAAGGGAAGAAGAAATAATGTTTCGTTAGCGGTCGCAAGAGTGCGAAATTAAGAATTTCTGGGAAGTGAAATGCAGAACATGACTATGGTTAGGATCCATACCTTATGAGTCTCCCTGCTGGACAACAATGTAGGTGTCCTCAATGTTGGTAGATTAAAATCAAAAGCAACCAATTATCATGTGTTCCTGTAAGTACGCTTAGCAGCATCAACAGTGTTGGAGAGGAGCATAGAGATTGTAATGGGTCCAACACCTCCAGGAACAGAGGTAATAGCTGAGGCCTTCACTATCGCTTCCTCATAGCAAACATCTCCAATCAGACGATGGCCCTGCAAACTGCCAGTATCCTGCATAAGATCGTAGCCATCACTATAAGAATTACACTCATAATTCACAATGGAGCAACTTGCAAAGTGAGGACTCTTAGACTCCTTTCAAAGAGAACTTTCCAGTGTGAACCAAGATATTTAGCAAAGTAACTATTGCAGCACTAGCATGCATAGAAAACAAAAGTGTAAATTGTCGAACAATTATCTCAAATCATTTTAGCAAGCAAAAGAAATACAAGCTTGTATGTGCAAATGTAACAGCTTGTGGCTACCTCAACTGAATTTGCACCCATATCAACAACAACAACCCCTGGTTTCAGCCAGTGCCCTCGAATCATGTTTGGAACTCCAATATCCGAAACCAAAATGTCAGCCCCACAGGTTACATGCTCTGGGTTCCCGGTGAATGCGTGCACAGTAGTGACTGTTGCATGGTGCCTCTGTAAATTAAAATATGCACTAAGACAAGGATAATAGTTTACAATTTAGCAGTAAAAGAAAATGGTCTACCTGCATTAGCAAGGAAGTGGGCAACCCCACAAGCTTGCTCCTCCCGACTACCACTACATTTTTACCTTTGATTTCCACATCATTCCAGAGCAGCAACTCTATGCAACCCTTTGAAGCACAAGGGATGAATGAGGGCTCCCTTCCCCGCATGGCAAGATTACCAACATTGGTGGGATGAAAGCCATCCACATCTTTCTCGGGACTCACATAGCTTATAATCTTTTCTTCATCCAAGTGCTGTGCCCATAAATCAATACCAAAGTTAAATATGCCAAAGATCACACATTAGGACTAATCTCAGAAAGAAAATCATACGAGCATGAAGAATATCAGCTGCACAAAGAGAAATGTTCCAGACAGCACAGACATCTGAGAGTGATGAGGTCGTTTTCTCCATGGTGCAAACAAAAAAGGGCAGACATAAGTGAGATGAAAATTTTGCAGATTTGTCTTATCCCCAGAAAGTCTTCCGTTTCATTCCAACAGAATAAGCCAATAAAACTGAAAGCATTTAAGTACTATCTCAACTAAAGCTTCTGTATCATCTCCCAGTGCTTCTGATAACTGCCGATGCATAAGTGCTTCTGGGCCAAGAGCGGATATTAACCCAACTCACTCATAAAATGCTGGATGTCCAGTAGAGAGAAAATTAGTCGACAACAGTCATTAGCTCAATCACAATGAAGAAACATTTTGTGTAGGGTATACAGTGTCCTCAGCTCGCTCACACGAAAATGTACCCATTAACAAAAATTATTTCCTCCTGAATCCACAGTAATTGCTGCTTCCAAACAAGCCTTCCAAGCGAGGGAAAAAATATTATAGAAAAGCTTTCCTAGGACCATTAAGCCTCCAAGTAATTTTTAAGGGAGAAAAAGCCTCCTCCGGGTTACAAGGCTGTAGTAATACACTCATGAACCTACCAAACAATAATGATGATGATATCTACAACGACAACACCGTTATTAATAATACACCAACTCAATGAACGATCACAAAAAGCATACCATTGTTGGATATTTTCCTATTCAAGTTCTCTCAATCTCCAAAAGAATCCCAATGTTATGGATCAATCAAAAAGATAAAAGGATATGGCTCCAACTCCTGTGTGCTGGTGAATAATTTGAGAATTCTGAACAGTGACCGCTCGCTACACTTTGTCAACAATAGTTATGTATGGTAATATATTCTTCAAACTCCCTTCTTTGCACAGAGTCAGATGTCCTCCCAATAAAAAGAAAAAACCCCACCTTGAAAGAAATGTCAATGGACCTGATCTAACCTCTCCTAATCCCCTTCCACAAGATAAAGAATGTCTCCTATCTTCTTTACTGATCTATTTTCCTCTCATTATTATAATAAAAAAAAATAACTTTATCAGGCAGTTTATTCTCCTCAAATGTCAAATTTTGGTAACCATTTTCCTAGAAGGGCTAGGTTAAAAAGGTGGTAATGATTCCTAACTCACAACCCTGCACAAGAAATGGTGGATGTCCAATCTGATAAGACAGCCTTCACTAAATTTTCTTTTTCCCTCCCAATAAAGGTAATAAATTTCATCTGAAATGGACATGGGACCAAAAGTGACATAGAATAAGCGGGAGATTTGAGAAAGAAGTTTTCACAAGGGTCAATTTCCCTCCCCTTGAAAGATATTGATCCTTATAAGTAACAAATCTGGATTCATCGAGCTCAACACACTCATCTCTTGATTAATTTCATTTTAATAGAATGGAATAGAGCTCTATGAGAATTTGATTAGGAAAATTAGTGGGTGGAATACTAACTAAATGTGACTACAAGGCAAATACATAACTATTTAAAGGCAAAGTGCAATATGCGAAGTTATTTGCTTTAGAGATCTGGACATATGAGCACATGTTGCACAACGAAAGCAGCATGCGCACATAGTGTCATCTGGAGTACTCCAAAAATCTGGAAACAGCTAAATCAAAAAGGAGGTGTGCTATTATAAACTAGAAAAAATAATTTGAAGTTAATACGGCCAAAAAAGGTGAAAAAAATGAAGAACAAATTCAGCTGAGAACTGGAGATGGGTAAGTTACTTTTGGTAGAGGCAGCTGCACAACTACGCCATGTATTAATGGATTCTCATTAAAACTTGAAACTGCATCAAATAATTCAGCTTCAGTGCAATCCTCAGGAAGTTCCACCGTGAATGGTGCTATCCCAACTTTCATGCAAGCTTTCATCTTAATATGTACAAAAGATTGAGAATCCCTCCTTCCACCAACAAGGATGACCCCTAAACCTGGAGTCTTTCCAATCGTACTCTTCATTTCACATATTTCAGCTGATATCCGAGAGTTTATATTGTTTGCAATTGGCTTTCCTTCAAGCACTCTAGCTGTCTGACCAATAGCTGCTTTATTTACACAACAGTAAAATAGTTAATTATGCTAATGTGCATAAGGAAACCAAACACAAAGAAAAATTGCTCGACAAACTAATCCAACAGCAATAGAAAACATCATAGCTATTTTGAAATAACTAAAAGTGCACTCTCATATTTACATTCTCTTAGCATTACTGATAGCAAGGTAGTTACTTTGCAACACGAGGAAGTTGGCCACAGAGGACACTAATTTACGTTATTTGATTTATCATCCACGCCATTGACAGTTCAGGTAAGTAAAAGTTCTGAAACAACTTTAGGATACAATAGATAGTTCTTGAGCCTAGGGTGACAGCACTCTGTAGTTTTTCATTTGGTGATAAATACAGCACTCTATATACGATACTAGTTAGTAAATGTGAAAGAGAGAGATGGTGTAGAGCTGCCCGAGCATCAGGGTATTTGGGGTGAAATCCTACCACATGGGACAAGGAAGCGTTAGTAGATAGTTGTCACCTCTTCCGAAAGGGACTGGAACAGCCTTCGGGATTTACCTGTTACCAGACACATGGGTCAAGGGAGAGGTGCAGAAGGGGATGTAGCTGTGAGAAGGCACGGGAGAAAATATGATATATTGATATTGTGTGTGATGCAATACAAGAGGT